GCTGATCCTGGGTCTTAAAGCTGGAGGGTGAAATTGGGGGTCTTCTCCTAGCGCCCCCCCCCCATCTCTGCGGCAGAGACAGTCTCCCCCAGCTCCCCCTTGCTTGGTGCTGGATCATAAACTCTGGGATGGAAGCAGCTGAGCTAGGGGCTGCTGTGGGGGGCTGCTGGGAAGGGAGGGGCTTGGAGATATTTAACCCCTCATTGCCTAGTGTAGAGGGAGGGCTGCTTATATCTTGCAATCAGACCCCCCCGCAAAAAAAGAAATAGATGATGTAGGGATTGAAGGGCTTTCCTTGTTGCCCCAATGGCCAGAGCCATGCCGTCCTCCCCACGTCCCAGCTCAGCTCCTGGCCCCAGTTTCCCCTTCTAGCAGTCCATCCCACACTAGGTCTGGGTTTGTACAGTGCCTGGCATGGTGTACCCCAGTCCAACCCTGGAGGTGATAGGGTGTGATGACACAGGGGGTACTGTCATGTCAGAAGGCCCAGCTCACGATGTCATGGGGCCAGGCTCTATAGGGTGCTTGGAGTTGTACAAAGAGCTCCCCGATAAAGCTCCAGTCAAAGTGGGGAATTATCTCTTGTTAACAATAATACCAAAGTGACATCAAGGCTCCCGGGAGCCAAAGGAGTTGCAATTAGGGTAACATCCCATGGGAGGAAGCCATGAAGCCAGCTGGCCAGGCAAGCCAGTGTCCAAACATTTGCAAAGAGTTGGCCAAGGGCTCTGTGGTTCCCTGGGACTTTGGGGGACATGGGTGATGGGGGGCTGTAATGATGGCATCCAGGTGTTCACAAAGTCAGTTGAGGGCTCATGTGAGGCTCTGGGGTCACTGGGAACTGGGGCTTTAGGGGATGTGGGTGATGTCAGGGCTGGGATGATTGCATCCAAAAGTTTGCAAAGAGCTGGCCAGGGGTTGTGTGGAGCTCCATGGTCTCCAGGAGCTGAGGCATCAGGGGACGTGAGTGATGGGGGTGCTGGGATGATGGCATCCAAGAGTTCACATAGAGCTGACCAAGAGCTCACGTGAGGCTCTGAAGTCGCTAGGAGCTGGGGCATTGGGGAATGTGGGTGGTATGTGGGGTGGGGCTGGGATGATGCTGAGGCCTAGTCGGGGAGGGAACAGCACGGAAACTTCCAAGGAGGTGAATGGTCACCAATGAGGCTGTGGAATTTGGGGGGGCATCCAGGTGCAGGGGGGGGGGGGGGAATACAGTTGCCCCAGGAGGAGGCTTTTTCTCTGTGGGTCCCCCACCCCAAGGAGGGCATCTACCAGCTGCCTCCAGTCTGGGCAGGGAGGAGTTAATTTAAAGATGCAGATTAATAGGGGAAGTGGAGGGAGGTGGGGAATCACTAGCAGCAGAGAAGGGAAATTGGACCACGCTAATAGCACCAAGGGAGCCGTTAGTGGCACTGCTGTGATGACTAACGAGGGGAGGGGGTGGCAGCCTGGTGGGGGAGGGGATGGGGTGGCAGGGGTGTAGGGCCCCAATCCAATGCCCTGTGGCCGGATTCAGCTAAGTGGTCCCCCTGCCCTTCCCTGTCCCCACTGCAGGCAAGGGGGTGGGGACCATGGGCCATCTATCTGTCCCACACCACCTGCTTCCACATGCCACATGCTTCCACACGCATGTAATTAGACCCTAGAGAGCAGCAAGGCTGGTCCAACCCCAGGTGGGCCTGGTCCTTGTGGGACTAGGATATTGCACACGTGTACAAACTCAGCATGTGCACATGCCATACATGTGCACCCATTGGGGCTCCTGATTCCCTGATTCCCCCCTCGAGCCCCAGCTGATCCTCATGGTGACCCTCCCTCCTCCCTGCAGGCCATGGAGGGCTGAACCAGCTGGGTGGAGCCTTTGTGAACGGGCGCCCGCTGCCTGCCGGTGTGCGCCAGCGCATCGTGGACCTGGCCCACCAGGGGGTGAGGCCCTGTGACATCTCCCGGCAGCTGCGTGTCAGTCACGGCTGCGTCAGCAAGATCCTGGGCAGGTAACGGGGGTCCCTCCCTTGCCCCCCCACCAGCCATGCCTCAGTTTCCTAAGGCTCAGCTCTGTACCACACAATCTGTGCCTGGTTTCTTAACCTCCACTCCCCACCAGCCATGCCTCAGTTTCAGACAGGCCCCTAGGCTCCTGGCCCCCAGGACCCCCCCAGCTTACCAGGGCGGCATCTCCTTGTGTCCTGGAGTAGGTACTACGAGACCGGCAGCATCCGGCCGGGCGTGATTGGGGGCTCCAAGCCCAAGGTGGCGACGCCACGGGTGGTGGAGAAGATTGGAGACTACAAGCGCCACAACCCCACCATGTTCGCCTGGGAGATCCGTGACCGGCTGTTGGCCGAGGGCGTGTGCGATGGTGACACCGTGCCCAGCGTCAGCTCCATCAACCGGTGCGGACTCCCCAGTTCCCCCGTCCTCTGGGGGAGTCCTCCCAGCCTGCAGTCCTGGGCCCTGGGAAGCTCCCTAGGGTTCTTGGCGGGCCTCACACATGTGCTGGTGCACATACTGTCACACGTGTAAGCACAGGTGTGCATGAAGTGGCAGGGCCTGCTTGACCTCAGGCCGTGTGTGTGCACAGACACCTGTATGCGTGTATGTGTGCATACACATGATGTGTGTCCCCACACAAGTGTCTGTGCATGAAGGCCTCACCCTTGTACATGCCCCCACCCCCACATATGTTAAAGACCCCTCCCCCACATTGTGTCCACACATGGCAAACACCCATACATACATATGTACCAACATGCTTGTAACATACACATGCATGCAAACCTGCACACTTGTAGCACATACACATGCACATGTGGTTGCAACATGTCCACACACCAGTATGTAGCACACACCCATTGGTCCCACCTTCCCCCACACGTACATGTATCAATATGCATGTAACACACGTGCATATGAATTCAAACCTGCACATACCTATGTGTAGCACATGTGTGGGGCTGCAAATATTCATGCCCCTGTATAGTCATGCACGTATACCTATGTGTGTTTGTGTACACATGGATGCCAGCACACACATACATGAATGTGCTGGGCCTGGCTGAACTGCTGTGTTTCCTACTCCACCCCAGCATCATCCGCACCAAGGTCCAGCAGCCATTCAACCTCCCCATGGAGAACTGCACCATTGCCAAGGCCCTCAGCCCTGGCCACAGCCTCAGTGAGTGACTCTGGGGTCATGGGGAGGTTGTGGGGTCATGGGGCACCCCTGCTGGACCCCATCTTTCCCCAGTGCCCCATGAGTATCCACCCACTGCTATAGCAAGGCATCCTGGGAAACACAGCCAGCCCCTGACATCATGGGCAATGGAGGGGGTGGGTCTGGAGGCCTGTATCCCACAGGGCTTTGAGACAAGAGCCCCAAATAGTTGGAGGGCGGGGGGAGGGGGAGAGCACCAAGTTTCTGGCCAACACAAGAGTCCAATCCTGCTCGCTCCCCTGGGGATGACTGACAGCCCCCTGGGCCAATCCCTGCTGTGGGAGCAGGTCTTGGCCTGGTTCCACCCCAGGCTCAGGCGCATCTGCCCCGCACCATGTACTTCAGTTCCCAGCTCGGCTGTGACCCCCCCAGAGTCACCCCCCTCGGATGCTGGCTACTCCATCACTGGCCTGCTGGGCTTCAGCACCACCAGCCAGCGCAAGCCTGAGCCCCCGGGATGGGGTATGGGGCAGTTGGGGAAGGGGGCTGGGGAGGTTGGGGCTCTGCGAGGGGCTGGGGGG